GTGAGGACTTAACTGTCCATTTCAGGCTTTGAAGATAGAATGGGGCCATGAGCCAAAGGATGTAGACAGACTCTAGACGCTGAAAAGGGCAAGGAAATGAGTTCTCTCCTACAGTCTCCAGAAAAGATGTTCACACCTTAATTTTAGCTCAGTGAGACTCATTTAGGACTTCTAAACTCCAGAACTGGGGGAAGATAAATGGGTGTTATTTAAAGCTACTGAGTCTGTGGCAGTTTGCTACAGCAGCAATAGGAATAGCAATAGGAAACTAATACATCCTCTCAACACTTCTCATTAGAAAGTGAACTCCGTGAGAACAGAATCAATAATTGTGATGGCTCACAGTAGGCCCCATACAGTATTTCATGAATGTATGAATAAATGAGGTAATAAACAGCAGCTGTTTGTGGTACTGAACATAAGGACTTGACAAACTTTTTAAGTAAGCATAAAATTTTTTATAAATTTGTAAGAAAATCAGAATAACAAGAAATGAACTACATGATCCTTTTCACTGACTCCATGAATCTCATCGACCCCACATTGTTTCATGATTAAGAGTGGAATAGTGAGCTAAGAGAATGTTCACCATTCTTCCTCAGTTCCTTTGATAACGTCTCTTCCCCAGCGAGTCTTCACAAGCTTTCAGGATAGGAGAACGTTCTCCCATGGTGCTGTAGGAACTCAGACTGGGTCCTGATTCATTGTAGGAAAGTAATCTTCACCTGAAATAATCACATTGCTCTAGAATTTAAATTTCAAGGGAGAGATTTTTTTTTCTCTCTTATTCTTGGTTGTCTCCTTAGGGTACCCCTCAGAAATATGCATGATCCTGATATCCGTGGGGTCAGAGTCAAGCTGAGAGGAACCAGAGTTAACATGAACTCCCAGAGGACCACAGAAGGCAAGTATTGAGACTTGAGAGGTGTTATATGAGTAACAAGAGCTTGGGAGGTTAGGAAGAACTCAGGGTTTGTCTCGGAGAAGTTAGACCTTGGTCTGACTATTAAGGGAAGGATAGCATTTGGTAGATGGAAGGAAGCGTTAAAGGTAATACAGATATGGCAAAAAGCACAAAATAAAGAACTTGAGTGTCTTTTTCAGACAACCAAAGAAAGAAGGATTTGGCTTAGGGAAGGCACATGAGGAATGCAGTATATGGAGATAAACTGAGCTCAAATGATGAAAAGTTAGGATATTCAAGATTAGTCATTAACCAAACAAATTGAAATTGAGCAATGGGGATTATTACACTGTATGATGTTAGAGTCCTAAATAAGGGAGCATTTTTAGGAAAGCCTTTTGAGAAGCTGCGTCTGGATCTACAAGAAAATATTAAAGTTTAATAACTAACTAAAATATAAGTAACTAAAATATAAAACTAAATACATTATGAATATAATTTCAGGGGAAATTCTAGAAATTACATATTGACTTTTAAAAGAGAAGGGAAAGGTGCTACTTTCCAACCTCTACTCACACAACATCTTCCTTCTAAGGAAAAAAATCCTAGCTCAGTTCCTACATCTATGACCAATCTAGTGGGAATTTTTTCTTCCTACTTAGGATTTTACATTCAGACTGATGATAAAGATAAACATATAAACTCAAATGACTTAAAATCAAAACATAGCCTTTAAAATTTGTATTAAAATATGTGTTTGCCTTACTCTAGGTCTCAAAAGGATACATTTAATTATTCCAATTTAGTATGTTTGTAGTGTTTAGGAGATTAGGTCTCCCAGGCTATACTCTGATGTCAATGCCAAGTAAATCCCCTTAGAATTATTTTAAATACTTGAACCATTTTCTACCAATGACATATATATCACTGGCCTGTTGATAGAAATATTCTTCTAAATAATCATGAGGATAGAGTTTTATTTCTCAATCTGTTTTAAAAATCAACCTCAGGCAACCAACCAGAATTTATAAAACTCTTATCAGGGAAATTCAGGTGAGAAAATTTTTAATTTTTTTCTAGAAATATTCACCTACAAAGCATTAATTTCTTTAAGGTTTTTCTTTATGAGTCTTATTGTTCAATTTTTTAAGTTCCTTAAAGTCTTCCCTTTAATATAAGAACTAAACAAATGACTATAAGTCATTTCTATCAGTTCTAAATTCAAGAGTTGCCTAAATTCATCCAAAATAAAAAATAAAAGGCCCACTTTTGCAGAATAACAGAAAACATTAGCAGTTTTTGAAACTTCTTTGAATAATGTAGTTTACTGTATGACTTAGAACTCAACAGACAAAATGGATTATAGCCCATACAATGAAATGGTGTCTAAAGTTTTTGTGTTAGATATTCCCTATGTACTAAACAAATCTTATGAGGAAGGAGTGTTGTTTCAAACCAGTCTTTTAAACTCCTGATATAATTTAATGGAGGTTTCTACTTTCTCTTTTGCTTCTAAAAGAAATAAAATATTAATGTGAAACTTATTTCTGTCTGATTAATTTTAGTTAACTGGGAAAACTGAAGGAAATCTTTTATGTCTTGTGACTTCAAGCTGGCAAGGGTAAATCAGCTTAATGAAAAATATTATTCAAATTGCATAGATTTTAAAAGTTCACCTTTAAACTTTAGGTTGCCAAGAGTCAGGCATTCAATGAAAATAATAATTCAAATTATATAGATTTCAGGTGCTCATTTAAAAATATTGTTTGTAAAGGGATCAGTCCAAAATTGTCAGAGATTTAAGTTAGTAATAATTTCTGGAAACCATAAGGAAAGAGATCTTCCTACATCTCTCCAAAATGATTTCCCTCTGTTCCTGGAAAACAGAGTGTAGTTATGGCCAATGAATATCCAGAAAACTATCAATGTGGAAATGTCCGGGAAGATCAGCTGATCTCCTAGGAAAGTATGTAGCACAGAGCAGGAATTTAATAAATACCCGGTCATTGAATAAATGATTCTTTAATTAACTAAAATAAATGAAGGTAGTTTAAAATAAAGCATTCTCCAACACATTGGAACTCTTGGTCTATAGAAAAAAATCTAAAGGATAGATAATTGAAATGTTTAAAGTATACTGAAAGTTTAGTAAATGCGAGTATGATAGAATTTTAGAGTATCATGGAAACACTTGACATGCGAAAGACCTGTATTATCATAAGATGAGAATACATTCTTAAATGGTTTGAGGTATATGCAATATTGTCAGAAAACTGTTATTATTTATAACTGTGAGTGTCATTATCATTGGGATGGAGTAGATATTTACTTCCTCAGTATATCTATTGTGATGTCATCTACTATAGAATTGTGAATTGCAGAAAACATTAGTTGGATCTCAATGATTATTGTGATGCAATCAAGTTAGAAAACATAACAGACCTAAGAGTTTGTCATTTTATTTATCTAATAAAAAAATTGCATTGCTTAAAAATGTATTATTTATGAGATTTTGAAATAGAGGAAACTATAAAGAAGAAAGAAGTGACTTCAAATTTCCATTGCGCAGAGAAAACTAGTGTTAACATTTTGATGTTGTTGCTGTGCTGCCTTTTCTTTACATGTGTATTTAAGTATTTATTTGCAAAATTAGGCTTATGCTGTACACAAAACTTTATAGTTTACTTCTTACATAATTTTTATTATTCTTTTATCATTACATTAAATATTTTAAGTAAACATCCTTTTTAATGATTGCACAATATTGAATGGATAATTCACATTTGCTTAATCATATTAGCCAAATGTTTACCTTTGAAGTGTTTTGAATTTTTCCATTATAAATAACATTACAATGGGCGTGATTACATGTAAATCTTCACCTGAGGCTCTAATTATTTCTTTCTGCTATATTCATGGTTACTAGTCTTAAGTATAAATATTTAAGAGTTCTCTTAATCTGTTACCAAATTATTTTTCAATAATTACACAAATTTATACCTGTATCAGAAATACAACAAGCACCCCATTTCACTGTATTTCAGGAACTATGATCATTTCCTTCTTTAAAAAATCTTGCTATTTTGATAGAAAAAATAAATATGCCTACATAACTGTTTCAAACGACATCTCTCTGATTAGTAATGAAGTCAAATATTTTTAATTTGTTAGATTGTATTTCTTTTGAGATTTTTCTGCTCCTGTCCTTTATTTTTTAGAGATTATATCTCCTGGTTTATATAAGCTGTTCATAGAATAAAACTATAGAAACATCATATTTATTGCAGTAATTTCCTAGTTCATGTTTGACATTTGATTTTACTCATGATGTATTTGATGTATAGTTATACAATTGAATTTATCAATTTTTAACACTTAAGACTTCTCCAATTTATTTTGATAGCGTTAAATTCTTTTAAATTTCTTTATGCAAGTACACACATGAATAACTTTACATTGCATACATAAATGACATTGTAAATGACCTGGGAGGTTTTTAATATAGACTTTTTTTTCTTTCCCCTCCTTTCTCTCTCTCTTCCCTGCTTCCATCTGTATCACTTTCCCTCCCCAATCCCCAGAGGTATAAAGACCAATAGCCCTCCTTTTGCCTAAAGTATTTTATTTTCAACAGTATATTCCACTAACACTGGAGATAGTAAACCGCTAAGAGTATCCAAATGAAAATAGTCTCTTAAGCATCATTATTAATCATTTCATATACAGTCATTGAAATTATTTGACAATTGCTGACACTTAAATTATGAATCACCTTTATGTAACTCAGATAGAGAAGTTGAATATTCCTTGACTATTCCTCTCAAGATTTCAAAAGTCATCTTTATTCATTCAATCTGATGTCTTTCTTGAAAATATGCTGAAAATGAGTTAAATGAGTAGCTGAAAAGGCAATAGCTTCAGGAGATTGATTTTTACCAAGAACTGAGCACGTACAAACATCCACATAACATATGAAAGCATTATGGAAGGTATTCCTCCTCCTTCTAGGCCAGAGAGAGCTCAGGAGTTGAATTGGGCATATTATAAATTAGTACTTCAGTTCTCCACAATTTTTTTCTCAACAGAGAAGTCAGGAATGGCTGAAGAAAATCATACCATGAAAAATGAGTTTATCCTCACAGGATTTACAGATCACCCAGAGCTGAAGACCTTTCTATTTGTGGCATTCTTCACCATCTATCTGATCACCATGGTGGGGAATCTCGGCCTGGTAATGTTGATTTCAAAAGCACATCATCTTCACACACCAATGTACATCTTCCTGGGCAATCTTGCTCTGGTGGATTCTTGCTGTGCCAGTGCCATTACTCCTAAAATGTTAGAGAATTTCGTTTCTGAGAACAGAGTGGTCTCCCTCTATGAATGCATGGCACAGTTTTATTTTCTCTGCACTGTTGAAACTGCAGATTGCTTTCTTCTGGCTGCAATGGCCTATGACCGCTATGTGGCCATATGCAGTCCACTGCAGTACCACACCATGATGTCAAAGAAACTCTGTGTTCAGATGACCACAGGGGCGTACATAGCTGGAAACCTGCATTCCATGATTCATGTAGGGCTTCTATTTAGGTTAACATTCTGTGGATCCAATCACATCAACCACTTCTATTGTGATATCCTTCCTTTATACAGACTCTCCTATGTTGACCCTTATCTCAATGAACTAGTACTATTTATTTTTTCAGGCTCAATTCAAGTCTTTACCATAGGCAGTGTCTTAATATCTTATCTCTATATTCTGTTTACTATTTTCAAAATGAAGTCCAAAGAGGGAAGAGTTAAAGCCTTTTCTACCTGTGCATCCCACTTTTTGTCTGTTTCATTATTCTATGGATCTCTTTTTTTCATGTACATTAGACCAAATTTGCTTGAAGAAGGGGATAAAGATATACCAGCAGCTGTTTTGTTTACAATAGTAGTTCCCTTACTAAATCCTTTTATTTATAGCCTGCGAAATAAGGAAGTAATAACTGTCCTGAGAAAAATTCTAAAGAAAAAAAAATCTCAAGAAAGTTGGAAACAAATTACATCTACTGTAGCTAAGTGATTTAAATGCAGAAAAAACTTCCAAGTGAAACTGAACAAGGGAAATGCACAAATCATATGTAAAATACTAAAATATATCACAGTACAATCAATTTAAGCAGCAATATGTCTTGGAGAAAAATATATAGGAGTAAACTGTGCTAAACCTTTACCCAAAATAATAGAAATCAAAACCAAACTTTGAATTCATTCAGGAAACAACTTAATATCTTGCCAAGCTCAAGGACTATCAGCATCATGGGTTATCAGCACCCAAAAGAAAAACACCAAACGAGCAACTAAAAATATAAAGGAGAATTCTATTAAAATTTATAGCCAGCCCACTTTAACAGTCTTGAGCTTAACTTTTAGTTAAGCTAACAACGTTTCAACAATGAAATCATTCACAGCCGTGAACAACACAGTTGAAGCAAGCAAATGTTGAAGAGGCAGTTTTAATAGCATTTGGGGGGACATTATTGCAGTTAGGAGAAAGGTAGTGAAGGAAATGAAAGTGTCAAATAAAAGGAAATATCATAAATATTATATTTCCAAGGTGAAGTTCCTAAAGAGTAGAATAATTAAACAAAGAACGTCAATTTTCAAGAGTAGTTATCTTACTCCTGCATGAGTATGAATAAAGATGCCATACTAGAAAGTTCCAGGTAAGTAGTCAAACATCATGTAGGATTTGAAAAGTCTTTGTTGTCTGTGAGCTAGGCTTAACTTCTCTATCTCCCTTTCTGAGAGGTGAAGAAGGGGTTCAACAATGGGGGCACTGCCATATTATATGTAGACATGAAAAAAAGTATGATTATTGAACTGTGTATGTAGGTTCTCTAGAATAATTTATTTTTTTTTCTTTTCACCATTGCAAAACCTGAAGTTGTGGAACCTAAATAGAACTGAATAATTTCATGTAACATAATGAAAGAATTATTCCCCAATTATTCATTCAAAACAGATTTGAGGTAGAAGCATTGCTCTAGGTGCTGGGATGTATCAGTTCCCAAAATGCCAGATTTTCCATCTTCTTAAACAATTGAACACTGCCATAATTTTAACAACAACTTCTAGATAAAGGAGGACCATCTCAGGTAAAAGAACAATTCCCTCTTCAACTTCTTCTCTTGATGTTCTGAGGTCACATCTAAATTCTCAGAAGACGATTGTCAGATTGCAGCCAGTGGAGGCTGACTTCACATGGAAAATCAACATGTTGCATCTACTTGGAAAAAGCAGTGGGAACACAGGTGCAGTATTTCCAATTCCCTGACTTATGAATACAAAATCCTAACCACTTAGTTTCTATTTGTAAGCTCCATAAAAAATCTAATCTAGCTCATTTTATGTAATCAAACATTTCAAGATTTGAAATTGAGACATTTCAAGATTTCCTTGGTTGTTTCAAAATTGAACCCCATTAATTTAGGATTTGCCTAACCCCACCTCCATCCTTCCTTGGTTGAATCTAAACATGTAGGTACTTGATTGATATTATGATATTAGAGGCAGATGTCATGTTACAGTCATCATCTAAGATGGTTGATCTTGTCTGACCCTCTGGATATCTATCTCTTCATCAGACTTTGCTTTCTGTGTTCACGTCTACTCCCCAGACTAGATACGGAAACATGATTTCTGCTAAGACATCTACTTGTCAAGTCCACAAGGTTTAAAGTCTGCTGGCTTGGTCCCTCTTGCTCTTTCTCTCCTAAATTCTGAGTAAATCCTCTTGACTCCCCTTCTAGAATATGTAAGAGATAGAAAAACCAGTATTTGGTAACTGATATATCACAGTACTTGGTTGAAGAAAAAGTCCAGAGAAATCTGAAGGGCACCATTTCTGCACTTCTGATGCACAGTGTACTGGTTCAGTGAAGGAGTCGAAAGCTTTCATGTGTTCCATTGGGAGGTGCCTTTCATCCATAGATCTCCAAACTTCTATAGGCATTTGATTGCCTCCCATCTGATTCCCAGGACACCCCCTGGGAGTTTAAGTCACAGAACCCCATCTCAGCAAACACCAATTATTCCCTTCTTTCTCTCTTTTTCCCCCAACTCACTAAATCTTTATTTCTCAGGTGATACCTAGCCCTTACATCATTGTAAATACTTCCCAAATCGACTATATAAGGAATAAATTTTGACTTTGGAACAGTCCTCAAAAGAGAGACTTCTTCAATTTATTTTCTGGATTTTCAAAGATATGTTTAGGGAAAAAAATTATGTGAAATTGATATTGTGCTCTGGTCTCCCTCTCTTCAAGCAATAAATCTGAACTGCACAAGTTGCTGTCTGAAATGCACCAGATATGGTGACTGAGAAAAACAAAATTATACACAGGCTTCATACAGTATAGGGAGAAAAAAAATCTGTTAAAATGAATCCTTTTAAAATTTTGACCAATACTTCATGGAAGTGGAAAAAAGAGATTTAAGACTTTACTTTGAAAACTAAAACTAAAACTTAGGGACATAAATATTTTATCTCAAATCTAGCTAAGATTTTCTTATAATCACAAATGTATACTAATTATACAAAGAATCAATCAAGTATCAGTGTTTCACCTGGTATTGTTTTCCAGAGGAATAAAGTATCTTAACTAGATACAACCTTTACTGACTTTTGAATTCAAGAAATAATTAGAAATGAATAATAATACTAGAACAATTTGTAAAATATCCAAAGGATTCACCAATTTTCTCAAGGGTTCATCTTAATCATTATTGTACAAATTCTTATCTATTGAATTTTCTTTTATTATTCACTCTTGAATTGTTATAACTCTACTTGGTCCTATTTGTCAAAGGGGCTTTATACCATATGATTTCACTTGTACATGGGACTAAAAAACAAAATAAGTAAACAAACAAAGTCCAACAAAAACAGACTCATAAACACAGAGAACAAACTGGTGGTTGCCAGCAGGAAAGGGGTGGGAAGGATGGGCAAAATAGGAGAAAGGGATTAAGAGGTGCAATTATAAAATAAATAAGTCATGCAGATGAAATGCACAGCATAGAGAATAGTCAATAATTTTAATAACTTTGTATGGTGACAGGTGGTAACTACATTTGTGGTCAGCATTTTGTAATGTATATAATTGCAGAGTCATTATGTTGTCCACCTGAAACTAATATATATTATAACGTCAACTATATGTTAATTAAAATTTTTTTTAAAAAACCCATCATTAACTTGAAAGAGTGAATTTGTTCTTGAGAAGTAATCTTAATTTAGGTTAACCCATATGAAATTCTTTTTTTGTAGAACAAAAACTAGCAGAATATCAACAATTCATGCTTCATCCTAATATATTTTCACAAATAATCCCAATAGTGGTATGATGAGCAAGCATTTTTTTCTTATATGTGCTCTCATTAAAATCTCTTTGAGCCACCCCTTAAGCACACTTTCCCTCAGCCTTTGCTCTCTGTCTCACCAGGTACTTCATATAAACTTTCATTTCTGCCTCTCACATACCTCTTTTGAGGGGCCCAAATGCAGTACAGACCTGGAGCCAGACCAAGAATGAAAAATACATGTCCCCTCCCCTCTATGCCAAACCCATCTCTCTCAAAACTAATTGTCCCAGGTTGAATTTCCCAAGAAGAATGCTGTGAGATGGAGTTTAGAGGGCAGGATTTTAGGGGATGCCCTTGGGGCTAACTCTTGTGGGAGGGGAAAAAGATTTGGCAAAGGAAGAGATCCACCACAATACAGACCCTTGACAGCACAGGTCAGCCCCACAAAGTCCCTGGATCTAGAAGTTTCCAGAGTTCTCCTGAGAAAATAAGGGGAAAAAAAGAACTTTAAAAAAAAAAGAGAAAAATCAGGTAACAAAAGAAAACTTCAAAAATTATAATTCATATCATCAAAGAAATGAAAAAGGTATGGCATCCAAAATATAAGACTTGAGCTAAGTAAAAGGAACATTCAGAATACAAAAAGACTGTAAAAATTTTTAATTAAAATAGCAGAATTTTTTAAAAACCAATTTGAGTTAGTAGATTAAGCTAACCTAATATTTTAGAGAACAAAAAGATTGAAAATTAAGGAAAAAGGGACAGGCAGGTTATATTCAAGAACTCCAACATTCAAATAATGAGTTTGAGAGAGAGAGAGAGAAAATTATGTATTAATGTGAATAGAAATATTGCATATTGATCTAATCAAAATAGTGATACAATTTTACTGAGGGATTAGGATAGTGAAAGAGCATGTTTTGAGCAGAAGGAATGGTACAATGAGAGAGCTATATACTCCTCCTATGCGGAAGACATTTAATAGAAATATATAAAACCAAAAAACTAAAATAGCAATGCTAGCATATTGTTTGGAAATACAAAAATATAAATAAATAAAAATAAATCCAGAGAAAAGTTACAGAAATTGAAAATGGTTGAGAATTGGGAAAGGCAGATGCTAATTTCCATTTTAAGCCATGTAAGATAATCTGATTTCCAAAATTCTACATACAAATGACTTTGATAAAAGTAAAAGGTAAATGTTAAAACATCTGTAACAACATATTATGTCAACTTACGCATTTTGCTCCTTTCCATTTCCAATGCTTATGGTAGAAAACAAAGCATTTTTGAGGAAGGATATGTTAGTTCCAAACATTTGAAATTCTAATCTTTTTTTGGCTTCTGTGTCCATCAAAATAACAGAAACTTGAGAAAAGTATGTAATTACAAGAAGTAGCAAGAGAATAGCCACCATATATGCCAAGGCAGGACCTAAAGGAAAGGTACGTATTAATGGCTGCAGGCAGGGAATAAGAGAATTATTGTAAAAGGTAAGAAATGAAACTGCAGGCATTGGAAAAGGATAAGACTTGAGGAGGTTCATCCTGAAAAATGCCAGAGCTGGCTTAGGCAGGAGGTATATCAGGCCTGATTCAGCTATACAATCTGAAAAATAGTTGTGACTTTACAAAACAGCAGCATAATCACAGAACCCAAGAATGGACTAACAGTTACCAAAGGGAAAGGGACTGGGGATGATGGGTGGGAAGGGAGGAATAAGGGCAGGGAAAAAGAAAGAGGGCATTACGATTAGCAAGTATAGTTTTGTAGGGGGGATACAGGGAGGGCTGTACAACACTGAGAAGACAGGTGGTGATTATACAGCATCTTGCTATGCTGATGGACAGTGACTGTAGTGGTGTGTGGGGGGTACTTGATGACAGGGGGAGCCTGGTAAACATAGTGTTCATGTAATTGTAGATTAATGATAGCAAAAATAAAAAAATTAAAAAAAAAAGATATGGCCCCTTGGGAAGAAAACTTCTTTACCATCACACCATGACTTATGCTCTGGTTATTTATTGCTATATGATCCCAAAATTTTGGTGACTTAAAACAACAACAATCACTATATTCTTATCCCCCATGGTTTGGGGAATTGACTGTTCTCACCTAGGCCAGTTCTTGCTCAGTATGTATCATGTAGCTGGAGTCCCATGATGGCTGGGGATGCAGTCATCTCAAAGGATTCTTCACTTGTGTGACTAGTCTCCTGTTAGATGAAATCTCAGACAAGATGTGGTGTCTCCTTGTAAACTGGTGCTATGGGTTGAATTGTGCCCCCTAAAAATTCCTAACCCCCAGTACCTCGGAATGTGACCTAATTTGGAAATAGGTAAACAAGTTAAATGAGATTATTAAGAATGACCCTTCCAAAATATATAAAGAGCTCACATGCCTCAACAAACAAAAAACAAATAATCCAATTAAAAAATGGGCAGAGGAGCTGAATAGATAGTTCTCTAAAGAAGAAATCCAGATGGCTAACAGACACATGAAAAGATGCTCCACATCGCTAATCATCAGAGAAATTCAAATTAAAACCACAATGAGATATCACCTCACACCAGTAAGGATGGCTGCCATCCAAAAGACAAACAACAAATGTTGGTGAGGTTATGGAGAAAGGGTAACCCTCCTACACTGCTGGTGGGAATGTAAACTAGTTCAACCATTGTGGAAAGCAGTATGGAGGTTCCTCAAAATGCTCAAAATAGAAATACCATTTGACCCAGGAATTCCACTTCTAGGAATTTACCCTAAGAATGCAGCACTCCAGTTCGAAAAAGACAGATGCACCCCTATGTTTATCGCCACACTTTTTACAATAGTCAAGATATGGAAGCAACCTAAATGTCCATCAGTAGATGAATGGATAAAGAAGATGTGGTATATATACACAATGGAATATTGTGCAACCATAAGAAAAAAACAGATCCTACCATTCACAACAACATGGATGGAACTAGAGGGTATTATGCTCAGTGAAATAAGCCAAGCAGAGAAGGGCAAGTACCAAATGATTTCACTCATATGTGGAGTATAAGAACAAAGGAAAACTGAAGGAACAAAACAGCAGCAGAATCACAGAACCCAATAATGGACTAAAAGTTACCAAAGGGAAAGGGACTGGGGACGATGGGTGGGAAGGGAGGGATAAGGGCGGGGAAAAAGAAAGAGGGCATTACAATTAGCATGTATAGTGCTTGGGGGACACGGAGAGGGCTGTGCAACACAGAGAAGACAAGTAGTGATTTTACAGCATCTTACTAAGCAGATGGACAGTGACTGTGAAGAGGTATGGGGGGTGGGACTTGGTGAAGGGGGGAACCTAGTAAACAATGTTCTTTCTGTAATTGTAGATTAATGATACCAAAAGAAAAGAAAAGAAAAGAATGACCCTTACCCAATATTACTGGTGTCCTTTATAAAAAGGGGGAGTTTGGACACAGAGACAGACATGAGGACGATACAGAGAGATACAGGGAGAATGCCATGTGAGGACACAGAATTGCACTAATATAGCTACAAGCCAAGGAAGGTCGAGGAGTGCCATCAAATAACCCGAAGCAAGGAAGAAACAAGGAGTGATTCTTCTGTACAGGTTTCAAAGGGAGCATGGCCCTGCTTACACCTTAATTTCAAACTTCTAGCCTCCAGATGTGTGGGATGATAAGTTTCTGTTGTTTTAAGCCACCCATTCTGTGGTATTTTGTTATGGCTGTCCTAGGAAACAAACACACAGGAGATTCCTTACAGCATGGTTCCTGAGCTCCAGGAATGAGTGCTCCAGGAGAGTGAGGCAGCAGGGCAGGGCATTTTAAGGGGCAAGTTTTGGAAGTCACATACCAGCACTTCCTGTATATTTCATTCATTGAGGCAATCACAACATTTTACTCACATTCAAAGACAGGAGACATAGACTGATGCGAAGGGTGTCATGACACTGTAAAAAGAGCATATGGATTGAGGTCTACTGTGTTGGCCATCACAACTTACACAACTTTCAAG